AGCCAAATCATTTGTTCAAAGTTAATCTCAATTACAGAGCATATTGTTCATAATCCCCCATGGCTCCAAAACAATACCAGAGTGTATGTCTGCTTGAATATATATTTACATACTTACATGTAAAATATGTTTGGTTGTATATATAATTTTACTTCTAAAGTGGTGATTCATGTTAAAGAGATGGATATTTCATGCAGGAATCCTGTCTTTTGAGCAGCACCATCCTCCATCCTAATGAAATACTGCAGGAAGGCCTGAATGGAATGAGCAGGGCTTTGATCCTGCAGCCAGTCAGTTGATGCAGTTCCCTATGCATAGCGCTGGGATTCATGCTAGCAAAATGGATGGTAGGGTAGAGTCTGGGGGGTTCAGCTTCTTGGAGACGGAGAGGTTTTGTGTGTCTTTAATTTTAATATCTACAGAATACCTCTGTTTTGCTTCTACTCCCTGAGCATAAAAGAACTGTTAGGCAGTAGTCGGAAAATCTAAATAAATCACAGATTGTATGTGCTCTGCACAATCCCTGCAAGAGAGCCCCAAGCTGCAGTAACTTCTTAGTGAACTGGGGGTGTAATTTAGTGGCATAGGAACTCCTCTAGCAAGGTGCCCCACACTTTTTCTTTTTACTGATTTCAGAGAAGGTGCTTATGCTTTCTAAACTGTAAGTATTTAGCAAGGGATCCCTTTAGTAAAATCTTGCTTTATGTCTGCTGAGACATTGCTGAGCAAAGCTGCTAAGTTCATGAAGTGTTTGTGGTGTAAATTTTTGCTCCATGGTGAATGCTGTAATCCTGTCACACTCAAGAGTGTAAAATTATGGTGGTATTACTGAGCTACTGTAGTCTCCTTTTTGCTGTTTATTGGATCTAGGCATGTTCCTTGAGTAAGTTAATGTTATTCTATTTTATATGGGTGTTTGTATTTTTTTCCTTGTGCTTTCTTTTTAACTCTGGGTTTCCTGGCTCTATATAAGCAGTTTGCTTCCTTCTACCCCTTGCTGCCCACATTGCAATAGTAAATTGGTGTTCTATTTCAAGAGTGTCTCTCCTGTCAGTCTGATAAGATCGTACCACCAGGAAGGCATAACATTATAATCCCAAGCACAATGTGATACTGTTCATTTCAGCTCTTGTACTTGTCAGAGGGACAAGAAAAAAGGTCATGCATAGGTGGAAGGTGAGGCTAGAAGTGAAGATAGTTGGAGATAAAACACTTTGCTAAAAGAGATAAATCCTGCATAGGGACATTTCAGTTTGTAATCAAGGTATTATCTAGAAATGAACTTTGAAAGCTGGTTGGGGTGTCCTGAATAATACTATCAGGCTATAAAGCTGACATAGGAAATACAGAACTGTAGTATGCATTTGTGATGGAGGAGAATATTTTGTCCTTCATTTTTTTCTTAGATTTGATGTCACATTTGAAAATATGGTCATAGTACTACTATAGATAAGAATAATAAGGTTACTCTACAAGGAACATCTATAAGAAACATGAGATTTCTGGTAATTCTAAACTTGCTAGATTTTACTAGAAGAAATGAGTGCTTTCCAGAAAAAGCCTCTGAAATGAGAAAAAATTTAAGGCATGCCTTAGGGTAAGGGGACTCCAGCCCCTTAAAAGAATCCCAGCAATTACCTACCTGCCAACTTTCCAACAAGATAAATGGAAGCACTGTAGCTTGAAGGTGCCTTGGTTTGAATGAGGTGCAGTAAGTAAAGTCTCTCTGTTCTTTACAGGCATCATAGATCTGATAGTACTTATAAAAGAAGAATAGAGTTGGTGCCCTGCTGACTAAATTGTCCTCTAGAGCTTCTTTGTTAACTAGGCTGTATGCCTAAACCGCTGTGAATTTCTCTTATTAGTAGGCTTTTTAATAGCTTTACATATGGATATGCTAAGTAAATGCAAGTGTATCCATGTAATTTACGGATATAATGTGTACATGTATAGTATTTTATATATAAATAAATGTTTATGATGTGGAATTTGCACAACTTCATTACTGTTCTGTTAAAATGAGGTAAAAGCAAGCATTAAAATACTAATAATAGGTGAACAGTTAATCGACTTCTGCTCTTTCTGTCCGGGTGTTTCACATAAAGTCTTTCTTCTGCTTCTCTTTAATTTCCTAATTAGTTTTTATGGATAACAGAGGTGTTTCTAAAGCCTTTGTATGCTGGAAGTTTCCCAGTTGCTCGCCTACTCAAGCTTTCTACATCAGAGGACTAAGTGAGGCCTCAAAGTGTATGTAAGGAAAAAAACCAAAAGCCCAACCAAAAAAACCCCAACCCAAACCAAAAAACCACTCTGTGCAGGACAGCTGATATTTCTCATTTTGCCCACTGTAATACAAGGTAGGAGGTTGTATAGCACAACCCAGGCTTCCAGAGAGGCAACAACCTTTCATGCCATCCTGAGAGCAATCTCATTCTTGGCTTTCTTGATGGGTCTGATGAGTGAACACTACCATAGCATACTCAGCAGATGAGCTGATTGTGAAGTTCCCCATTCCTGGGAGGAAATCCCAGTGCTTGCACAAGGCTCTGGGGGTGTGCTGAGCCTGCCAGTGTGCTCCCTCAGCCTGTGCTACGGAGGGTGGCATGGCTTCACTCTTTAAATAGGCTGGCGTCATGCAAGTTTTTCTCTTTCTTTGGGAAAAGTGAATTTCATTCCTGTCCCCGAGTTTTGCCTTAGTCTGGGAACAGCAGATAATTTCATCATGGACAGTGCTGCTTCATGGCTTTTTCATTATCCTGGCAAATTCATTTTTTGAAGTACCTTGAAGTACCAGAAGTTTCTTGCTGAAACAAATGAAGGCTTTACTCCACATCCTTTTAAAATCTTTGTTACTCTAAATGTTAACCTGTGTGGTTTTTATATCTTCTATCAGTTGGGTGCCTATCTGGTTTTTTAAACAGAATTTTTATTCCTTTAGAATAGGCTCTATTCTGCTGCCTTCAGTTTTCAGGGGTTTATTACATGCTTTTTAGCAACATTTGTTTTATCAGCACTTCCTGCAGCATTTGTTACACATCACGACAGCAGCGATTTGATTCCATTTAGAAGAATACCATATTATCTATGGAAAAGCAGTAATTGCTTACCTGTTTGCCAGATACATTCTACTATGAAAAATGTCTACTGATGCTCTGCACAGTACCAAGTAGTGTTATTTCTTGTTTACATTTTCTACAGTTAATAGTTTCAAAAAAGAAATAATGAAAATAGTATATTGCCCATTTCACAATTAAATTTCCATTTGTAGGGATTTGGAAGTGTACTCTCGAATGAATACGGCTTCCACACATAGACCAAAGTTTCAGATTTAATTTTTGCATTTCTTGTGCCTAATGAAATACACGTACAATTTCATGCTCATCAGAAAAAGCAAAATTTAACTGTGGTGAGAGTTGTTCTCGAAGTGTTTGTGGAAATTCATTGGAAATAAGGTCTGCAAGATGTTCTGCAGAGAGCTAAGTCAGGTAGGCCGTATTTACTAACCTAATGGACAAGGAGGAATAACATGTAGTATTCCAGGTGGCTTCTAAGGGGTATTATCAGTGCTTAACCCTTAATCCTTCTCTTCCCATGCCTTGGAAGACTATGTCTGTCTGTTGTGGCAGACTGGCCGTGAGCCTCCCTCCTAATGGAAGTAGTCATCATCGGGCAGGACTCTAACTCAAAGTACACCATGTGCATTTCATCCATGTTCTGTCACTTCTAAAAAACTTTATTTTTTGTTGTGAAAATTAGGCAGCACTAGGACTTTGCTTCCTGAGCTTTTTGCTCAGGCAAAGCCCAGTTCTTTTTATGCTACTTGGACAAAGGGTCCTGTCGTCTATGGTGCAACCACTTCTTTGAGCCAAACAAGTGAAGTCCATATCAGCCAAAGTAGCACACTCTGTTATCCCAGTTATTGGAAGCCTCAGAGGTCATTTAATGACCTGTTTTATATGTGAGGTAGCTCTCTGTCTCTCGTTTGTGCTTTAAATTGCTAATAGAAATAGTAACATACTCCTTAACTTGTACCTTGCCAATAGCTACAGAAGCACAGCTATTGGCACTTCTCAGTTTGTATGAGCTCTTTCTGTGATACTTAGGAATTAACATTTTTCCTGACATTTGGGGAGCATGTGCTTGCTTTGTCACAGCATTGTTGGTTTTTCATATCTGATCTTAAAATTATTTAAAAAACCAAATTACTCCCACAGATTCAGAGACCAGTATAACTCCACTGTTACAGCTTCAGGGAGTATGTCCAGTAGTTCGTAGTTAGAATTCAGTTGTACTGTGACCTACAAAGGAAGTTCCTTATTGAAAATGCAGCAGTTATGAACTGAAATGGAGTAACTGTTTAGCAGTTCTTTCAGATGAAATTGAAGAGAAACTGTGAGCTGTACACTGGTATTTGATGGACCTGTAGAAGCAGCCTTCAGTGCTCCTTGATGGCCAGCAGGTCCAGTCCTGCTGCTGAGGACAGGGCCTCTTATCATGTCTCTGCGAAGGAGCTGCATGGGAGTGTTAGGAGGGCTGCGTATTTTACACCCTTCTCTCAATGTGATAATGGCTTAGAGTGAAGTGTATAAGCTGTGATTGTAACGGTAGCAAACCACAAAATTAAATGCTGTGTTAAAGTGAAACTGATGTATCATTTTCATTAGTTTTGGTATGCTCAGGCAGAATTTGTGGGATTAATTTTGAAAGCTTAATCCAGATGGAAAAGGTTAAATTCAATGCTGAGTGAATTGGGTTCCAATTCATCTGTTGCCCTTGCTTGTTCTTTTTCTCAAAAGAATTAGAGATTAAGTGGAGAATTGTGCGTACTATCCTTGTTTCCTGCCATCATTTAACTACATGAACCAACATTAAAGACAACCTCTCAGTTATCTGCTGCAATAAGTAAACGAATGGACCTCATTGCCATGCCAGTCTTGAGTCCTGTGGCCTTGAGTATTAGTTCATGCAACTACTTATGTTCTTTTTTCCTTTTTCCTCAGGATTTATCTGGATCAATTGACGACTTGCCGACTGGAACTGAAGCAACCCTGAGCTCAGCTGTTAGTGCATCAGGCTCTACAAGCAGCCAAGGGGAGCAGAGCAACCCTGCACAGTCTCCGTTCTCCCCTCATGCTTCTCCACATCTCTCTGGCATCCCCGGGGGCCCTTCGCCTTCCCCCGTAGGCTCACCTGTTGGAAGCAACCAGTCAAGGTCTGGTCCTATTTCTCCAGCAAGTATTCCAGGTAAGTTCGTTCCAACAAACAAAATTAAACCAATAAATAGGTTTATTAAATTCATAAATAAATACTCCTATATTCCAAGTTAACTTATTTTCTAAGAATCCTGCATTTTTAGGGCACTTTTCTGAAAAAAATGCAGGAGTAAATTCCATCTAAACTTCAGCTACCAAGCCCTCAGAGTGCTCAAAGTTCTGAACTTGACTCCACATAACTGTTTGATAAATGTTTTTATCATCAACAAGTGTGAATACTTGATTGTAGTTTTTGTATTTGGTTTGTGTGTCATCTGTCATAGATTTCTCTCTATTATTTACAGAGTCCTTTTTCAATTCTAACTGTATATTTTTGTTGGGTTTGACTCTTGAGCTTGTATGGTGGTTACAGACCTGCAGGACAAGGTAGAGATTTTCCAATCCCATATTACAACAGTGTAATTTTGGACATGAATACAGAATATTGTAGGAGATATTTCTTAATATTTGCAAAGGTTAGCAAGTTACTAGGAATTCAATCCCACCAATAATAACTGGAATACCAGTGGCATGCTTGCCACTCGCTCTCTTGTGCAACATTCATGTACATTCAGAAATTTGTGGAAATCTGTTAAGATACCCAGAAGAAAAAAAATTGCATGTGTTAATTGTAATTCTTACCCATCTGGCATGTTACTTGTAGGAATTCAGGCAACAATGTGTATTTGGTGTTTCAGATGAGTTTATTCTCTTTTTGATGCTCAAGTTTTTTATTATTTTCTGACATTGTGAATACTAGGGGAATTCCTAAGAGTACAAGAGTGCTGACATTACCCTAGGGATAACATCAGTTGCTGACAAAACCACAAAATAATAAACATGGAGCTCAGTTAAAAGAAACAAAAGCAGTGGTACCTTTTCATTAGATGACTTGAATGTTGCTGTAAACCAAGTGCAGATTAAAATTCAGTGAGTAGTGTGTGTTTTGGTATTCGATACAAAGGTATCTGTGTAAAATGTTTGTGCCTGTTTGTATACAGAGTTAAAACTAGATAAGCCAAGGGAAGTAAGCTCAGTACACACAGGAATGTTGCACGCTAAGTGTGGCCTGAGCATGTCAAGCCCTGATACTGTGTGCATACCCTGCAGTTATTTCTTCCGCCACTCTGACTGGCAGCACATTCTCAGGTGGAGCAGGAATAATGGGGACAGAGTCAGGACTAGAGTATTTGCTTTATATGCAGTGTGGTAGCTTTGTATTTGCAAGGTAGTTCCCAGTATATGATGCAGAAATCAATCCCTGTTGTTGAGTGAAGCCAGGTAGTCCACCTGGAAAGGTGACATTTTCCCACCGTCAGATTCAGGCAAGTCAATAGATTGTCATTTTAGGAGCCTGACTGCTGAATAGGGAAAGAATGTTGAGACGTTGAAAATATCTTTATTGTAGCTGTGATAGGTAAGGATGGGAATAAGACAATGGGAAATAAGTAGGGGAAAGTAATAACTTTTATGAAACCAATTAATCCCTATGGGGTAAAAATAGAAGGGATGTGGGCTCAGAGGTCAGGGTCAGAGTCACTTCATCATTTCAGCTGAGCCCCAAAAGGTCATTTTTGTAACTCTCCTAGTGAAAAGCATTGCCTCTTCATACAAACTGTTCCACCATTTTGCACAGTGGTTTTTTAGTCTGCTGTGGAAACACAAAAGTGGTTCTTTCTCAGGGAGGATTTTTATGAATGACGCTAAATCAAAATCGCCTACCACTGTTTCCCTGTCATAGACCAGCTCTTGGTCTTTGCAGCTCTTCTGCTAAAGGTGAACTCCCAGGCATGAGCTAACGTGGAGCTCTCTGGAGAGGAGACGGACAGCTGCAGTGGCATCGCTGCTGATGCTGGTGCTGCGTTTCTCAAGCTACAAAATGACACTGCTAAGGCTGCTGTTTAAAACCCTGTGATTAGTGGCATGCCACTGGGTGCTGGGGCTTTCAAGCTGTATGAATTAGACTGTGCTTTCACCTGTGTTCCCATCATTGTGCTCATCATGAGGACTTTGGTAGCTTTTGTCATCAGCCAAATTCATGAGACCCTATGAAAAAGTAGCACAGAGCTTGTTTGCATTTCTGTGGCTGTTTGCAGTGTTCAGGTTGTGGCCGTTTTTAAACACAGATTGTGTACTACAGCACCTTGCCTATAATAATTTTTTTCACTGCTATTTTCCTCTCCGTTCTCACCCTACCCTTGTTTGCTCTGACCTCATTCCTCTCCTATTACCTCCTGCAATGTTGTGCCACAGCTTCTCAATGTGACATAGATTGGCTCTTTCAATCATTCTCTCTCCAGCAAGTCATTGTAAAATGAGCAGCTGTTGTGTTGCTGATAGCTATGGCTAGGGAAAGCCAAAATGTTGCAGGGGGTTCTTGGTGGGAAGGCCGTTAAAAGAAAGGTGTTGCTTTCCCAGGGTTTACTGGAAGAGAAGCATCCTTTTCCCGATGCCTCCTTCCTTGCAACAAAATTGAAGACTAATTTAACATCAAAAGGGCAGACAAACAAACAGCCCCCCATTAAACCTCTCAAATAGCTGATTCTCTTCTACTGCCTGTTTAAGCTGTCTCTGCACCCCACCGCAACCCTGCCACACCACAAATTTTACAGGAACAGCCTGGCACAGGCAGCACTGACATTGGCACGTCCCTAGCTCAGTGGGCATTTCCTTCCTGTGCTCTCTGAAATACTGGATGGATATTTTGTGTGGTAAGTGGCACACACATATACAGCCTTTGTTTCCATTCGCATTACTGGAATAGATTGAGGAGATTAAGTCCTAAGAGCAGAAAAAGCAACTTGGATGGCTTTTGTTCAGAAAGGTAGTTTTCTCTCAAAATGGTAACATTTCTTGTTCAGACACGCGTTCATTACAGAGCTGAAATCCTACTCTTCTATGGTTTTTACTGATTTAAAATGACATTGTGATTTCCTGTTAAGTAGATCATTATTCTGCTTTGCCAGAAATCCTCATCCCTTTATTTTGTAGCCCTCTTTATAATTAGGGTACATGGTCTTCCAGAGAATGAGCCGAGGTGCCCTGCACTGCTTTGGGTCTTGAACTGCCTGATTCAACCCTAAACCATTAGTGGAAGCTGATGCAGCACATCATCAAAATGCACTGCTGTTGCCAGAAGATTTAGTGGCTGTTAATTTCACTTTTCTCTTTTTTTTTTTCTTTTCCCTCCTGCTCCAACCATTCCAGTTTACTAACAAAGCAAAAATGTAAATAAGCTAAGCTCTCCTTTCTCCCCCCATCCCCAATTTTGATCTCACTGGCCAAAGGCTTTTGTCAGCTCTTTCTCCCTTGCGGTGTAAGCAGCAAAAATTTTTAATATTAAGAGTTCTGTGGAAGATTGCTGATAGGCCAGGAATCCTTTAACCCATGATGGACAAGCACATTTTGTACAAGTTAATAGATTCTATTATTTTTAAACCCCTACAGTTATTTTTACCTGTATAGAAGAGAAGGGTGTGCTATACTAAGAATGAATAGCAAATGCTGCCTTTAGAAATATGTAAATATATTTTTTTCACAGAGATTAGTATTTTGACTTGTGCTTTTAATGTTACATGTACTTTCTGAAGAAACAACCTTAATTTCACTCTGTTAAATGTCAACTACATTGTTGTTTTTATTACGATTGATATCTTCTTTCACTGAGGATACGGATGAAGTTATAATTTTCATAAAGAAATCCATTTGTGGATACTCTGGCTTGGGAATATTATTGCTAGTCTTCTTAATTTATGCTAACCAGTGGTCAGTACCCTCTTCTGATTAAAAAGACCCTGAATTTTTAATTCTGATAATTACATGAGTCAACAGATGTGTTCCATTCAGTGTTCAACTCTACTTTCTGCAAACCTGGAGGTCTTCCACACCTGTATTGATCAGCTAGATGGCTTGAATTCCAGGACCTGTCAGAATTACAGCATTACAGCCAGCACTCCAGGCAAAAAAAGAAGCAAGAATGGGAATGGGATACCCAGAGAGAACGGTAACAGGAATTCTTGCCTTGGTGTGGATGGTAGTCAGTGTGTGGCTAGACTAGAGTGATTTAAATGCTGAGAGAAGAAAAACATGAGAAATAGTCAATCATAGTCCAAAGGGACATAGTACTGCAAAAATCTGAAGAGGAGTGATGCTTTCTTTCATGCCTTATAAAAAGAGAGACCTAAGACTTGAACTGTTTCCAGAAGTTGCTACAGTAACACAAGCCAATAGGACAGATCTTGTTTTAAACAAGAATTTGGAAAAATCTTTTCCTTGGGATTGAGCTATCCCACATACTTACCCCATGAACCACCACTACTCTAAAATTATATGTCACAGACTCCTTTTAAACATTGTTTGAGGGAGACAAGACTACCATATGAAAGTGATAAACGCTGTTTAATGTCTTTGTCGGTGACATGGAGAGTGGGATCGAGTGCACCCTCAGTGAGTTTGCCAATGACACCAAGCTGTGTGTTGGTTCAATATGCTGGAAGGAAGGGATACTATCCAGAGGGACCTGGGCAGGCTTTAGAGGTGGGCCTGTGTGAACCTCATGAACATCAACAAAGCAAAGTGCAGGGTCTTGCACCTGAGTCAGGGCAATCACAAGCACAAGTACAGGCTGGGCAGAGAATGAATCAGGACTGGCCCTGGGGAGAACTTGGTATTGGTGGATGAGAAGCTCAGCAAGACAGCAATGCGCATTGCAGCCCAGAGAGCCAGCTGTATCCTGGGCTGCATCAAAAGAGGCACAACCAGCAGGTCAAGGAAGGTGCTTCTTCCCCTCTGCTTTGCTCTGGTGAGATCCCACCTGGAGTGCTGCATCCAGTGCTGGGGACTACAACACAAGAAGAAGCTATGTTGTAGCGGGTCCAGAGGAGGGCCACGAAATGATCAGAGGGCTGCAGCACCTCTCCTATGAAGATAGGGTGAGAGAGCTGGGGCTGCTTAGCCTGGAAAAGAGCAGGCTCCAGGGAGACCTTATAGCAG